AATTCTTAATAGTATGCAGTTTTTGTTATTACCTAGCTATTTGCCCTAAGATGCCGTCTATTGGACTCGTTTTCTTTCTTATCATTGATTAACCAAACAGGGTTACAGTTAAAAGCCATTATTGTAAGTTATATTATGTTCTATTGGATAATTTTATGGAAATATAACACATAACAAGTTCAACTTAATCAGATTCTGGCAAGTCTAAATAACTAAAAAAAGTTTTCATGCCATACATTAAATGGATCTGGCCTAGGAATTATTTTATTCCTAACATTTTTAAAGCGTTTTCTGCTTCATCAAAATATTGGATTAATTTATTTCATAACACAAACCTTCGAAAAATGTTATTCATTATTTAATAGTATTCAGTTACAATAGTATAGTGACTTGTCGCCAAAAAATAGCTTGATACTTCGGTTTTTGAGTAAAAGTAAATCCTTTTCACAAGTGAAAGAACATGTCAGAATAAGTAGATTTTTGAACAGACCCATCTCAAAAAGTCATGCCGACCCCCCCTCCACCCCCCTCAAACGTGATAAGTGGTTTGTTCTAGTTTTTATGATTTTTCTCAAAAACGGTAAAACATAGAAACGTCATTTTGGTGCCATTCGATAGAGCACAAAATTCTGCATAATGAATATGATCTTATTTTTGTTTATGTTTTCAAGGTAAGGCCCCACGTGAACAAAAATGTGGTGGGGGGTAATCACAAAGACACGCGTTGATCAATATCATTAAAACCGCTCGAAAATAATAAAAACCTAAACAATCCACTCATCAAGTTTGAGGGGGGTGGAAGGGGGGTCGGCATGACTTTTTGAGATGGGTCTGTTCAAAAATCTACTGATTCTGACATGTTCTTTCACTTGTGAAAAGGATTTGCTTTTACTCAAAAACCGAAGTATGAAACCCTCAAGTCACTAGGCTACAACGCTGTGAGCTTGTTTCATCATGTCATGTTCCCTCTGAACCCAAGAATACTAAATTATATTTTTAGGAAGCTGTAGTAGAATAGAATCTAGAAACGTTATACACTGTTAAAAGTCTTATAAACCTTTAAAATGGTTGTTCAGTCTTGGAATTTCCACGGATGGATTGCTGTTTCCTCTTGAACCAATATGTTGCTCTTCATCTATGATTTTGGCCCGAGTCCATTCAATGTTGTATCGCTTTTCTCATATAAGTTGAGCGATCTAAATACAATTTTTTGTGATTTCAAGATTTGTTGATCTAGTTTTGGCCAGACATTTCCTCAGTATCACGGTCGAATTGAAGACTGTATTATCGTTCAATTATTTCAACTTTTTCTGAGAGTCCTTTTGATGTATGGGATTTTTGGTGTTGGTCCTTCTTGTTCTTGGTTTTCTTTTCTTCGTGTCTTTTCGTTTCTTCTCTGGATAATTTTGTCTCAGATGGTCAGATGTTACTTGATATTTATTTGTTATTTCCTGGATTTCAACAACCTCGGTGTTGCATATTTATGTTCCACTCTATCTTAATAATATGACGATTTTCTCTTTTGTCAGTTGACTGTGCTTTGTGTTGACATGTAGATATTGTTCTGTGTCGGTGGGTTTCCTGGATGTATGTACTGTTTTTTGTTGTGAATACATCTGGGTATTTTCTTGATTCTTGATATGTCAATAACATCTTAGAATGAAAAACTGCCTTTCGTTAAATTTTCTAGGGTTATCTAAATGTGTTGATGTTGTTGAGAAATTTGTTCAAATGACATCGACATCCCAGGTTTCAGATTTGTAGTTCGAATTACTTAGTTTTCGACGTGCGTCTTGGAATTATGAGTTTTCCAGGCTACATTTTATCAGATCCATTATTGTTCCTAAAAGTAATGTGGTTCTTTCTTTTAATGTTTTCTTCTCGATTCTTTCTTCTCTAATGTTTATAGCTTCTGGCACGTTTGTGTATAAGTTTTCCCATCGAAGCAGTCTTCTGGGTCAAGGTTAGTTGCATTTCTGCAGAGTGCTGGTAGTTTTTGACATAGGAGAAATTTTGCTATGTTAAACCATATTTTAAGTTTTAAGAATGTTTAGAAAGCTGGAAACCTATAAAAAAATCACACTTTTGTCTTTGTCCCAAGAACTTTAACCTCAAACACTACATCATTAGTGGTTGAGTTGATGTATTGTTTTTTTTTTGTTCTTTTGGCTGTTTTTTTATATATTGACATCCCACCTACAGCCTTTACCTTTATAGGTAGATGAAAGGTGTAAATGCAAAAGTTGTACAGTATTGGCTAAATTTTTAAAATCCATGGTCAAAAACAAAAATTGAATGTCAGAAATGTGAAATATTGCATGCTTTCAGCTTTTTTCAAATGGGATGCGCTATATGTATTTGGTTCTATATTCTTGAAGAACACAATTTCCCGATTCCAAAACTACTTATATAGTTTGTCTATATTTGGTTGAGCCGTCTCCAACATATTTGGTTCTAAAAATTTTAAAAATACTATCAGAGAAGAAAAATGTAGATCGGGACATTGTGCTTTTCAAGAATATAGAATGAAATATAGGGCATCCCATTCGAAAAAAGCTGGAAGCATGCAAAATTTCACATTTCTTCTGACATTCAAATTTTGTTTCTGACTATGGTTTCTAAAAATTCAGCCAAAACTGTACAACTTTTGTATTTACACCTTTCTTCTACCTGTGAAGTCAAAGGCTGTAGGTGGGGTTTCAATATATAAAAAAACACCCTGTACAAATAAGTGGATTATTTTGGAACTTATGGGTGGACCTCTGCGGGACGAGCGCAGCGAGTTCCGCAGCCATCTACTCACCAATAAACTGTTGAACTGTTCAAATAAGACACTGACCTGAAACGTGTAGTTTTTGAACTAATGAGAAAAATTCTCAACTGAGTGAATCAAGTTAGTATTGTACTTGAATAAGATATTGGTGAATAGATGGCTGGGTCCACCCATAAGTTCCGCAACAATCCACTCGTTTGTACTTGAATAACTTGTCACAATATATAACTAGTTTGGTAAAGTAACATTACTAATTCCTGTTATAAAGCCAATTGAAAAAAAGTGGATAATCTTACAAATTCTGACTTTATATAATAAGTTATTGTTCAAGTACAAATAAGTGGATTGTTGCGGAACTTATGGGTGGACCTCCGCAGCCATCTAATCACCAATATACTGTTGAACTGTTCAAGTAAGACATTCACCTGAAACGTGTAATTTTTAAACTAATGAGAATAACGCACATTTGAGTGAGTCAGTTTAGTATCGTAATTAAACAACATATTGATGAATAGATGGCTGCGGAACTCGCTGCGCTCGTCCCGCAGAGGTCCACCTATAAGTTTCGCAACAATTCACTCATTTGTACTTGAATAACTTGTCACATTATGTTACTAGTTTGGTAAAGTAACATTACTAATTCCTGTTGAAAGGCAAATTGACAAAAAGTGAATAATCATAATCTTACAAATTTTGACTTTATATAATAAGTTATTGTTCAAGTACAAATAACTGGATTATTGCGGAACTTATGGGTGGACCTCTGTGGGACGAGCGCAGCGAGTTACGCAACCATCTACTCACCAATATACTGTTGAACTATTCAAATAAGACACTCACCTGAAACTTGCAGTTTTTGAATTAATGAGAATAACTGACATTTGAGTGAGTCAGGTGAGTATCATATTTGAACAACGTATTAATGAATAGGTGACCAGAGGTCCACTCATAAATTCCGCAACCATCCACTCGTTTGTACTTGAATAACTTGTCACATTATGTTACTAGTTTGTTAAAGTTACATTACTAATTCCTGTTGAAAGGCAAATTTACAAAAAGTGGATAATCTTACACATTCTGACTTTAAATAATAGAGTTTCTAAAATACTATCAGAGAAACCAAGTACATACCTTAAATTTTACCTGCAGCTTTCACCTGTATAGGTAGAATGGTTCACAAATCAGTAGTAGGATAGTTTTTTTACAATTTTTGGAGTCGAATATATGAGACTGTTCAATCAAATATAGACAAACTTGTATATATTTGGAATCGGGGCATTGTGCTCTTCAAGAATATAAAATGAAATATAGGGCATCCCATTTGAAAAAAGCTGGAAGCATGCAAATTTTCACATTTCTGACATTCAAATTTTGTTTCTGACCATGGTTTCTAAAAATTCAGCCAAAACTGTACAACTTTTGTATTTACACCTTTCTTTTACCTGTAAAGGTGAAGGCTGTAAGTGGGGCGTCAATATATAAAAAAACACCCTGTACCTACCTCTTTAAAATCATCTTATTCTTCTAAATAGTTCCCTCATTCCCATATTTTTATGGGCCATTCCTTGGAAAAACCGTATCTTGTACAATGTGCTGCTAAAAATCCAAACTAACCCATTCTGGCTTACTTTAACTTGAACTGACCCCCCCTTTCAAAAGGCCTGTATCCGCCCCTGTTCTATGATATCATCCAGTAAAACTTATGTTTTTAATTTTATTGTCGACGCCTTTTCTCTTTAACTAGCGTCATTTTGCCTTTCCAACATTCCGCCGAATACTTTTTATTTTTATCCCAACCTGTCAGTTATAAGGAAACACTAATAAAAAATCAATCCAAGTTCATCTACAGGAAGTTTCGTCCGTTATATTCAAGTCTAAATTTCTTTTATGGCTTTATCGTCTTGCATACTAGAAACTTTTGCAATAAAACAGCTTTTGAATGTCTAGTACCGACAAAGAATAGTTCTTCTGCTGAAATTATGGATTTGAACCTTTTACGGATATATATTTTCAGAACCTTAATAAACAGTGAAAGTTCTAATGTTTAGGGGAATGCTGACATAAAGAAGTATAAACAAAAAAACTTATAGAAATCCCAAATGAATTCTTCTGCGTATCCAAATATTCCAGACACACTCGTGTTTGCAATGGGTATACTTATACGTTATCGCTTCAAGTGTTTTTTTATAATTTGCGTATTTTAATTTAGTTTTTTTTTTCCTTCTAGTGATGGCAGGCCTCAGTCGCCCACGCCCACCCAACATACCCACCACCAACCTTCATCAGTTCAAAGTATCTTGAAGCTACCATTGCCGTAATGGATCACAGCGTGAAAGCCATGACGTCACCGCGTGTGCTGGCACGTGCCGTGAATCCGCACCGGTTCGAAAACGACGAACTGGAACAGCTCTATCAACGCTATATCTGCAAATTACAGCACTCCAGCGTTGTTGCCGTTGTAGCGCTGTTTGTACTGTTGACGTTTCTATTGGCTAATTTAGGATTGGTGAGTATCATATTCATATTATTGGATTTTTCTGTACAAAGTAAAACGCTTAGGTACGTGGTTTGAGGAATTTTTTTTAGTTTTGTCATTTTACTCGTGTTGAACATTTATTCGATAAGTCCAAAACACAAAACTTGTCAAAAATGTTCCAATAGCATCTAAACTTTCTAATTACCAGCACATCTTATTTGTGGGATACTGCAATTTAGAAAATCAATATGTTAGCATAGTCTTGATGGGGCTTTCAAATAAAATTAATCGTCCATTACTGCATGGTATGTAAATGGCGGAAATCGACTCTTGAGCAAAACAAAGTTAATGACTTCCAGAAAATGCAAAGTTAATGAATAGGTATTTATATGCAAAACTGTCAGTGGTAAAGTTGTAGAAGAAAAATCGACAGAGAATGACGCACTGTTTGCATTGTCAAGTTGGTCTTTTAAAATGCAGGCAGACATATTAACTACCGAGTTTCAAATGTATGTTCGTCTACATCGATAAAACATGACAGATGAATTGATTAGACTGTTTCTATGAATTGCCACTGCTGGATTTAGCCCAGCATTGTTTACGTCAATTAAATCCTGGAACTCTATAGCGGCTGAGTAAAAAGTTCGGGGGAATTTGCAGAATGATTGTCAAAAGAACACAATACAGTCGATTGAAATAGAGGCGAGGTGCTCATTTTATATCTTCAATTATCGTAAACGTTGCTGCAGGGATTTTTGCAAATTTCACCGTTATTCGTTTTGGTGTTTGCCTTCGAGTGTTTTTGGGTTGCAGAAAAGCGGCTCTTACGTGTATAATAAAACATCCACACAAACACAAAATATTCAAAACAAACACGAAGCTGTCATTGTTTTGCCTTGAACAACTCTAGTTCTAATAGTCAATACCAGCAAATGGTAGATAAACATGCTGCAAATTGCACTGACGCAATTTAATCAGCAAATGCATAGCAAATACTACGCATGATGGATAATGATATTAGCGTTTTTAAATAGTTTGAAAACTTAGATTCGGTAATTTCCGTTCGTAGGATATTTTGGCACGGAATGACAAGTTGATAACGCCATTAGGTTATTTTTATTTAAAACGTTTCAATTCAGTAGTAAATATAGATTATTTGGGGTTCTACGTAAAATATAAATAATATTATATACTTTTAATAATTTTCATTTACATTTGAACAGAATTTCTAGAAATCTGAAATATATCCACAAAACGTATTATTTCTCTTCCATCAGTGTACTGCTGGACTCTTAAGGGCCCCATACACTACGATAAAACACGACGGTTTTCATCGCCACGATGAAACACGTCGTTCCAAAACCGAAGTGTGTGGTAGAAAACCGTTCGTCTGTATGAAATGTTGAACCGTCGTGCCAAAAATCAAGCTCGGACTGAATTTTGAACCGACGATGAAACACGACGGTTTTCTATTACACACTTCGGTTTTAGAACGACGTGTTTCATCGTGGCGGTGAAAACCGTCGTGTTTCATCGTAGTGTATGGGGCTATCACAGACTCTTGGGCAAGTTGAAACAAGTGACCAGTTTTAGGTCGTCTAGCCAAGGATTTGGCGGTCTACCAACTTGTTCGTTTCAACTTCCTTTGCCCATTTTTATGATCTCGGTTAGATTTTTTCTTTATTTCCTAGTTTTTCCCTTGAGATTGAACTTCATAACATTAATTGCTAACTTTTTCTTAGCCCATTTCTATTTTTCCAAGCGGAAGGGCACAGTGGGATTTCGAAACAAAAGACCATGCTTGGTTGGTTGTTTGGTATTCCTTCAAAGGAATTTTGTCTTCTGCGAACAAATGCTTCACAGTCATATAATATATTTAAGGCGGCTTCCTCCTCATCAACACACAATCTACATGTCGTTGGGCTATTATAGACTCTCATTTTGTGCATGTGCTATTTAAGATGGCAGTGTCCTATTAGTGGTCCTACCAGCCGTCTTATCTGAGTGAAAGTACTTCGGCTGTTAGCATTTTTGAGGGTTACCAATTATATCCTTCGAGTGTCTTGCTCCAGGTGTGGACAGCGAAAAGTCGAGGTGTTGATGAGTCTTTTCGTTGCCTTTATTCCCGAATGCCCAGAAACCTACAGGAGCTTTATTCTATTATTCCTTGACGACAGAGCTTCCAGGTCGTGTAGGCATTCCATCGTTGTCTTCGAAGTAAATTGATGTAAGTTCATAGCTTTTAGAGCAGCCTGACAGCCTGACTGTCTGTTTTTTTTTCTTATCTATCCGTCCCTATTCCTTGATATCACAGGGTCCTGTACTCGAGGTATTTTACTAGGGTCTGGCCTGTCAGAACCGTTCGCTCCGTTCTCTTTCTTTCGATGATGAATCCACAAAATGTAATAAAAAATGATTTCTTCTATTGCATGTCTCATACACACCGATCTACATCATGTGAGGCATGACGATAAATTATGCTATAGGTATTTATCTCACCTCACGCTCACTTTTCACTTCATGTATGTTTTGGTTTGACATCTTCCTTCTAAAATGCTGCACAATTTGATAATGTATGAAATTCATTTGAGAATTCAAATCTTTATTAAAAACTGAAAGCACAATTTCAAAATTGCTTATTGGAATGAATCAAAATCGTGTCAATGTCTAAAAGATTCACGATAATGTGGGTAATCAACGGCATTGTTTTCTCCATTATACATTTCTTGAACATTCTTCATCACGTAATCGCGTTTTCTGAACCGCTTCTAGGGCTTCCTTAGACACATTTAATTGTTTATAATAGAACAATATATATATAAATATATCATGTTGCAACACTGTAAGTGTTTTTAAATTAACACAGATAACGTCTAACGATCCGCGATTTTATTTTTACATTATGATAAATAGACCACCCATCGGTTGAATTGTTAGTTGTTGTTCTCCGGGCCGTGTTATTGCTGATTGATTAGTTCGACTCGAAGGTTTTGCTAGTCCAGCATACACAATAATTATTGATTACTGACGATTACGACAATGAGAACACTTTTTTTTTTCTCCCGCACAATTGTTAATGGCGACCTGCATGCAATCTCGACTCTTGAAGAATATTTATTGTTCTTCTTTCTTTTTTATGCTGATTACTGCAATCAGCAGTTGTTTCGTTCGCGTGCGGTCATTACAAAATCGTGATTGAAGGCGGCTAATTTTATTTTTACGCTCTCAAATTCAAAATTATCAATATCAATAATGAACAGGGTCGTCATTGATTATTTCCACACAATTTTTATTGTTGTACGTTTTTGGACAGAACATTTTTGACGGTTGTTTGAATTTGTCTCTAGAAAAATGTCCTTTGAACGTGTGTGAATAATTTTTTTTTTCTTTTTAGGTCTATTCACAAGCAGCTACTACTCAAAACGTCTTCCACGCGGCCCATTGTATCCTGTTCGCGTTGCTCCTGGGGTTCCTGCACACGCGGTTCATGCAAGACGCTTACCTCCTTTGGGTATGCTACGTGGTGCTATTTTTTCTTGCGACTTTCTGCGCTTTGGCGCTGCCATTATATCCAAGCAGTACTATTACGAAAGTTGCCGCAGAAGGAACATGGCAGGTAGGAAACCAATATTCAGAATCAATTATTAAATTTTCCCGATGTTACTCTCATACTGTATAACCTAATTTTACATACGGTTGCCTTAAGTTAATATACTTAGGTAATAATTTTTTTATGTAATTCCCCAAGTATGACTCCTACGTATGTTTAATGCCTGGCAGGCGTTTATGGCTTTCCATGTAGGGCATTGATGTCTGCAGCTGGTAATGTTGTTTCAAGAGAAATATAATATGAGCTTATGCGTCGAGGAACTCTGGCCTTTGCTGAATAATGATTTTTTCAAGGCAAAAAAAAACACTGCAGTAAGTTAGCTTTATGAAACTCAATAATATACATCCTCAAATCTATTGATTTGATTGAAGATGCTTTATCGTTTATAAGAACCAATATATGACGTATCAAATTCTTATTGACAAAGCTAAAACACTGATAAAATAAAATACAGAAATAATAAAGAGTATATATCGGTTAACAAGTAGTCGAAGTTAAAATAACAAAACATTCAAAACAATAAATGTTGACAACAACGCATACAGTCAAAAAGGTCAGATGTTATTCTTCAAAGCATTGCGAAATTGCTTAATATCAGCAGCATTTCTATGTTTTGAAATAATGTGATTGAAAATTTTGATTCCATTATAAATGAAGGAATTCCCAACCAAACTGAAATAAGGAATTGGGAACAGGGATATTATATGCTGGTGATGTGGAAAATAATTCTGATGTGAAGATGTAATATATCCTATTTCAATGATATTGCAAACGTTTAAATGTAATTAATAATTACTAAGCTGAAAACTAATAAAAATATTTTAAAGAAATAAAAACTTCTTTGATTCATAAAGGTAACGTAACAGTTTATTATCTTCTCTAATGACGCTTATTACGCAGGAGCTCTCCAACAAGGGGCATATCTTAAAAGATATGTAACTCTGGGAATGGAGAAAGAATGCCGGAAAAGGTAGTAAGCTACATGAGAATTTATTGAGCAGAGTTTATCTGTTTGACAATATTTAAGTTTCAAAAAAGATTCAATATAAGAATTATGAAAAGGACTGCCCAGAAGAGTAAAATTTTCAATATTGCTTTTTGATATTTTCTGAAAATTTTGGTTTTGTGCATTCTGAAAAAAAAATCACATGTTTTAGAGTTTGAAAGGAGAGATAATTCACATTGAAATTAATAGCCAAACCAACTTGCGAACAAGTGTCAGAAAATTTTTCAAAATCTACTAAAACGGAATCCAAAGCTCCTCCTAAAACATCGTCATCTATAGGTACCTATGTTGGCCAGTTGTAGTGTTCATTGCCGACGTTCTTAAGTTTTCATTGATTCTGGTATTGTGGTGATGGATTGTGTTTGCTGGGATGAGACTTATTGTAGAGTGAATATTGGAAGTCTTGCAAGAATGGATTAAGATGCATGATTGCAAGGTATACAGGGAGTGAATGTCCAGGATGCCATTCGGATAATATAAGTCTTTTGTTGGAAACAGAAATGGCAACTTAAACAATTTTTTTATAGCACGATTTTCTAGAACTGACAATGGATGCAGTTTGTGAAGGGAAGCATTGCCCCATACCACAATTAGATGTGATGGATGAATGGATAAGGCAACTGTATATCGGGTCAGTTAAGTTAGCCCCTCCCCCCCCCCCATAGAAAATTTCTGGATGAAAATTATTCCATAATTTTGCTCTCATTTTGCTCCACTAATTTCGATTTTTGCTCCATCACAGTGGAGAGACTTTGTGGCCTATTAGGTGGGGGGGGGGGGGGGGGGGGTGGATTAACGCTAGCCCCCCCCCCAGTGAAAATTCAGAAATTTGAGTTTTGCTTCATTTTGCTCCATTATCGGCGAGTTTTGCTCCATTACCAGGAGAGACGTACAGAGCTCCCAAAAGTTTCTCCTAGCCCCTCCCCCCGGTAAAAATTTTCAAATTTGAACATGCTCATTTTGTTCTCCGAGTTTTGCTCCGTTTTGCTCCATAATCGGAGAGTTTTGCTCCATTACCACGAGAGACCTACAGAGCTCCCAAAAATCTCTCCTAGCCCCCCACCGGTGAAATTTTTCAAATTTGAACATGTTCATTTTGTTCTGCGAGTTTTGCTCCTTTTTGCTCCATTATCGGCGAGTTTTGCTCCATTACCATTAATGACCTACAGAGCTCCAAAGAATCTCTTCTTGCCCCCCAGTGAAAATTTTGAAACTTGAAATTACTCATGCCGAGTTGTGCTCCATTTTGCACCAGATCAGCTCGTTTTGCTCCATGATTAGCCGCTTCCGGGTGCCACTCTTTGAGCGCTCAGCGCTCTTGAGTTAGTCCGCAGTACTCCGGCTACAACGGAACGGTTTGGATCAGAAAGAGCAAGAAAATTGGATAAAGGAAGGCCAAGAATCCTCAACTAACAGGATGGCTTATCCCCATAAGGCGTACGTTCGCCAATTTTTGACTTGTCGTGACGTCACTGAGACCCCCATGCAATTCAAGCTGTGCCACGCCGTTCTTGTGGTGAGGTAATTTTCTCGTCGATTTAAAATGAAGAAAAGGTAATTTTAACGTTTGGAAAAAAAAACCGCATGAAATAATCTTGAGGTCTACATTGACGTCACAAATGACACAAATAGTGGGGAGTTTTAGCGTGGACATGGCAGACAATTTTAGCTAGATAAGCCATCCTATCAAGGTTTAGGGTTCTTGAAGGAAGGCCAAGTTTTTTAATTCACCAATTGCTTATGCGCATTTCTCTTGATGAGTAACCTATCCTTGTTTTGCTGCTGTCAAATGACAAGGACAGTATTACATCGGTGAAAATGCGCATATGTCTTTGTGGATTTTAAAAACTTGCCGCATTAGGCCTAGTTCTCATAACCGCGAAATTCGCTCTTTTTTGACACTACTTCGATAATTTGACGTTTAATTCACGCATAAAACGTCAATTTGTCGAAGCAATGTCAAAAAAGAGCGAATTTCGCTGTTATCAGTACTAGGCTTTAGCCAGTAAATCAGTAAACTGAATTTTGATTTCGGAACGATTTGCAGCAAATACAGTACTGACAGTCAAAAAAGTAACACAGCCATAAATAGCTATTTCGGAAAAATAAAAGGCTGTCCCTATAATTCACGACGTGTGTCAAATTTGTTTACTTGAAAATAGGCGCCATCTTTTTTTCATCGATTCGCACTGTCAAATCAATATTAGGTCATTCGGAACACATTTAACTGCTTCGAACATGGGCGCTCGAGCAAACGAACTTTTTTATCGGTATTTATTTATGACATTTTATTAAAATTAGTTTTAACTAACAGGGCTTCTAGCGGGCTCTGTTTGTCTATTTGCACCAAAGTTACACCAGAGCCGCTTTCGGGTACAGAGTGCGGCGCTCCTAGAACACTTCACACCTGTCATACTCTATGCGTTTTGCATTCGAATGCTTGAAACCGAACGGGGTCAAACTGTAGCTGGAGTACTTCGGAGTAACTCGGGAGCGCTCAAAGGGTAGCACCCGAAAGCAGTCTGGACCAGGTGCACCAAAAAGTCAGTTTGTCTCTGTCAGACCCAATGAACTAGAGCTAAAAACTGGAATGCGCACACAATGCCATATCTGCCAAAAAAATGAAGCCATGAAAGACAGATGCCACAACGGGGAATGTTGTTTTTTTCTGTTGCTCGCTGACATATGACGTTTTCGAAAGTTTTGTCATATTTCCCTTCACAGGTTTCATCAATTGGAATACGTGTTGGAAGCAATTTTCGCCATTTAACATAATGAGTGCGACAAAAACAGGTATCCCCTCCGCAGCAGCCGCACTATAGGCTTCACGTTCGTCCTTATGTGTTAGCATTCCAGTGTTTGGTTATAGTTCATTGGTCAGACCTATACAAAAAAAATATAAAGGGATAAACCTTGGATAAACAAAGACGTTTGGTGTAGAAAGTGTCGGTTGGTGCCTTGTTGGTGCGAATAAACAAACAAAGCTAGTGACACCAGAGACCACCGTTTTCTTCACGGCCATTATACTCAATGCGCTTTGCACTCAAACGCTTGAAAATCAGTTACAGGTGTATAAGGAAAAAGAGGCGAGGAAAATGAGAGCAGCTTCAGAGCGTGGCACCCGAAAACAGCTCAGGTAATGGAGCAGAACTCGCCGATCATGCAGCAAAACGGAGCGAAACTTGGAGAACAGAATGAATATGATCAAACAAAATTTTCACTGGTGTGGGGGGGCTAGGAGAGATTCTTAGGAGCTCGTAGGTCATTCCAGGTAATGGAGCAAAACTCGCCGATCATCGATCATGGAGCAAAACTCGGAGAACAAAATGCGCATATAGAAACTCATTGAGAAACTACAAAATTTTCACACTTGTTGCAAGGAGATATTCCTGGGAGCTGTGTAGTTCATTCCAGAGCCGTTTTCGGGTGCAGTGTGCGAAGCACCTGGAGCATTACATGCCCATTATACTTAATGCTCTTTGCAATCGAACGCTTGAAAATCAGTTGCAGGTGCATCAGGGGAAACAGGCGAGGAAAGTGAGAGCAGCTTGAGATCGCCAAACTCTGTTCGCTGGAATGTGTAAAATTGTAGCCGGAGTACTTCGGACTAATGGCGGGTATTATAAAACTATTTTGACAGAATAACTAAAAGTTAACTTCTGGAATGACGTTACTTCTCATGTAATTGCATTGCAGAAGTTAACTGTTAGTTAACTGCCAAAGAAGTTTTTTAATACCCGCCCTAACTCGTCAACGCTGAGCGCTCAAAGCGTGGCATTCGAAAACGGCTCGTGATGGAGCAAAACGAGCTGATCATGGTGCAAAATGGAGCAAGACTCGGAGAACACAATGAGTAATTTCAAGTTTCAAAATTTTCACTGGGGGGCAGGAAGACATTCTTTGGAGCTCTGTAGGTCATTTCTGGTAATGGAGCAAAACTCGCCGATAATGGAGCAAAACGGAGCAAAACTCGGAGAAAAAAATGAACATGTTCAAATTT